GGGGGGGAGGGGGGTGGAAGAGGGGCTGGATATTAAATTATGAGCCTGGAAATAGGTAACAAATTGGAATTAAAAAGATCTAGCTAGTTGCATTATATAGACTGAGGACTGAATATCTTACTTATGTGCGTGTGTGTATGGGAGGGGGGTAGGGGGGTCAAAATGATCTTCTTTTGCCGATTAGATCAGTATCTAAATTTACATAAAATACTGATAAAATATTCAAAATATGTAACAATAAACTGGAGGAAAAACGCTAAATGTTACTCAGAATAACTAATAGGTAATGGAAATGAGTGACAAAACGATGTCATTAAATTCATATATTTATAGACGAGGTACAGGACAAGTAAAGAAAAAATAATATTCAAATATGTAACTAACTGTGTATGTAATTAACTATGTAAGTAACTACTAAATAAATTCGTAGAAAGGCTAAGATTCAAGCTATAAAGTTGCTTCTTTCCCATCTAACTATCGTATTACTGTCAAATATATCAACGCATTGTGTAAATAAAGTGTTTGAAAGTTAGTCTGTGTCAATCTTTCTCTCTATTAACTTTGCAGGATGCCATGTCACTGTTCTTCACATGTTGAAAATGATACATCGATTAAATTACGCTGGCCATTCCTCGAAATGCCTTAAAACTATTTAATAACGATATATCATGTGTACTGTTACCTTTTATTACTTACAGCAGATATCATGTTTATGGAATGAGCGGTGTACTGTAACACTGAATTGGTTTCCCATTTCGATATGTTTTTTGTTAGATACCCAATTTTTGAAATCGTGACAATGGTCACAATCGAAATTTTAAGTCTTTGGTGCTGGCTCTCTATGTACACCCTTTGTATTGATTTCCTACAGGAATTGTTCTGTCTCCCAGATCAATTCCTGTCGGGACTCGGTCTATAGTGAAGCTATGCAATAAAAATGTCTTGGACTTTGGACACTAAATAGTAGAGCTGCAAACACCGTCCTCCAGATATTCCAACCTCTTTATGGGAAAATTTATACAAGTCATACAGTTATAATCCAGGAAGCCAGAAAAAAATTAAGTTGGATGCAATTTTGCCATTCAGTTCAGACCACTTCTTTTCAATTCTGCCAAATTCTCTCCAAGAGAAATTGGACTTATATCTGAACATGTCAAAAAGCGTCTCATTTCAGGTTTACTCAGTCAGTGTAACTTCTGGAATTTTTCCATTTCAAGTTGAATTTTTTCCATAAATAAGTCGAGTAAATAAACTCATCACCGTAACTTTTATCAAAGACAATGGTGAGTCTTTCTTGATATTTTTCCTTCAGTCTGCGAAGTTCGTCTAATTTTTTCGGCTATAGCAAAAGTAGAATGCTCAGTGCAATGAATAAGATTATAGCAAGAGCTTCAATCACCACAGACATTGGCGAGTCTTTCTTCATTTTCCTTTTGATCTTCATTTTGAAGCAGGGAATAAAATCGGAGAAGTTAATACCCTCCAAGACTTAGGCTTACCAAACAATTAGCGTCAAGCCTTTGTTGTTTTTCAAACTTCAAACTTGATGTTGGAACTTCAGATGACAGTTTAGTGGTTGTCTACCAGTCAACGACAAAAAACAATTCAGAAAACCTAGTGCGAGCTAAAGGAAAACCCTTGTACCGTCCAAATAAATATGATGGAAGTTTGGCGTTTTATTCGATCATTTAATGTGTCATGGCTTTTTGCCATCAGAAAATGTCAATGATTACCACTAGAAACTCTCAGTTTGATTATGAATTATTTAGTATTGTCTTTAATCGAATGTTGTATTTCAGCTAATTAATCGGTTATCGGTCATATTTTATTCAACTCGGCATCACATCCGAATAGAAATAAAGGTGTATGGATGAAATATGGACGAGATAGGGAAAAGCATATCAGCTTGGGATCCTTAGACTAATCAGTTTGGTGTTGTTTTTGGTATTTTACTGTCGATTTTATATTTGTTTTCAAAATGGAAACATGGACACTGCGAAGTAAACATAGCAAGCAAAATCCACAAAGGCACAAGATGATTGGCTGGCCGTTATGTTTTGAGCAGGTTGGCTCTTTATGTTTATAACCTTTTAATGGTTATTTTGTCTGGCAGGTGAAATTCAGCAAGTATACTAGTAATGTTTCCAATTTCAATTGGCCCACTTTTATCCACAACCAAACATGACACATTACCACTATATTTCAATATTAGTTCATACTAAGGTGAATTGTAATTGATGGTTTTCACGGCGGCCATGTTGGAGGAACTTAACAAAAGAATTGTCAATGAATTATTTTGTTATATCCTCCAACATGGCCGCCGTGTCTTTTGATATTTAATTCTCTTGGGAATGATTGCAAACCATCAACAGAAATTTTTCTCAAGGTTGCGTGCGCATCCAATTGGACGGGCCACAAAACTCAAAAACGCAAATTCAGTCAAATTAATCAATTGTTCTGGTATCGTGGCCCGTCAAGTTCCTTAAATTTGGATGCGCACGCAACCTTGAGAAAACGGTCTATTAAGAAATCAGTCTGAGACGTTTTACTAAGAAAATCGATTTATTGAAATAACATTTATTGATTGAAATACCAAATTTAACAAATGTGGAGAACGGCTCCCCCTAATTATCATACATCTGTACAATCTACGTTTCTCTATCAGAGATTCGTGCATTTAACGACTACTTTAGTAGTATAGGCATGCATATCATAATATACCATTCTAAGAACTTTATACTAAGATTATATATTTATATTTTACCATAAACTTCTAGATCTAATTGCTAATCTAGAACGTATTTTTAATTAATCTTTACCTTGCATATGTATCAAATTAATTGCTTAGAAGATTAACTGCATATTGCAAAACTTGCAATACTACGGCCACGTCCGAAATATTAAAATTTAGCACGATACCGGAAAGGCTCTCCCGGAATTGCATTACAGTGCGAAGCCTTTAAAGGGATAGTAGATAAAGTGCTGTAGATTCGATTATAACGTTGTTTGAGTAAAGTAAACTGACTAGCGTTCCTACCAAAATTTTCTTATTAAAAAAAGGCAGAAACGTCGTATATGGAGCATTACTTTACGTACTCATACGAATAAATGTATGGTGATCCACATGTTTGTACTATACATGAAGTACAGTACCATACTATTAATGAAGTCAGAGTCTCGCGATCAAGAATGAATTTTAACATATCGAACGTGACCTATTAATTGGAAAGATCTATAATATCTGTGGATTATAAAAATTTTAGTGAAGTATTTTTTTTACAAAAATTGTGCAAAAGTTGGTGATTGATCTTATTTTCGTGTACAAATGTTTTGCAAAAGATTATGACGCCCGTTCCATACGCCGCACTACTCTTGTGCCGGACGTCATTCATGAATTAAGTACGCAAAAAGAGCGGCGTCTGAATCAGTTGCCATTCCAGTGTCTCTAATGCGGCAAGCCTTATCGGACTTAACGTACTTGCCGTACCAAATTGAAATTGTTTGATCAAACTGATTCGTAGGCCGCTATTCTGTCGTACTCAATCAATCAAGTTGGCCGTCTGAATCAGCAGTCGCTCCAAAACGATTCCGAGTCGAACCTAATTGTATTAAGTTCGGCACATGAGTAGAGCCGCGTATGGAACGGGCCCGCCTTAATGTGAAATCTGCGTCACAAAAGGATCATGGTGATTTGTTAATGCGTAGCTAGAATTGTGGTCAGTGTAAAATCTGCAAAAAATCATCACACCACTTTCATGTCAATACTGATAATTTCTAACTAAATTGCATGAGATAGCCTTTAGGATGTCAACAGAAGTTATGGACTTCTGAGATCAACAGTTTTCATATCAAAAAACAATTCTTAAACTGCATATAATCTAGAAATGGAATATCGTCGTATAATTGAACATTCTAAAGATTTCGTATAAAAATTCAGTTACTAATCAAGTCATACATGTTCGATACGATCTACTCTAATCTTCACAAATAAATGCGTGCAACCGTTATTTCATGCTTCGGCCAGCATAATATAAGCAAAACTGTTTTTGTCATTGTTAGGGAAGTTACGTTTTTTATTGCGGTTTAGGGGAGGCCTGGAGCTTCAGTAAAATTGTTAACTTTGTTTGAGGGTCAAACCTTTTAATTTTGACAAAAGCTGTTTTGTTGTTGACTCAATAGGAGGGTCACGAATTTCTTACTGAGTGAAAGAGGGGGGCTACAGCCATATAAAAAAAGTTGACTGCGAACTTGGTGCACCGCTGACTGGTTTTCATAGTGGTTAGTTTTGATAGTTTTTCTTAATTTCGGTTGTTTTGTTTGTTGTTACGGCAAAAGAGCTTTCGAAACTTTTTTGCCATGAATGTTGAGCACAGCAGCTTCTCCGTGTGTACGGGCCTCAACAGCGCTGCCAAACCAGTCAATACTCCCATTTCGAGTTCACCTTTGCTCAGTCTTAGCCTCAATTGTGTACAAATGTGTTCTTTACTTTTATATAAGGTCAATTGTACAATAAGGAATGTACGGAACAATACGAGTTCATTAAATTCCACCGGTTTTGGTCGAATAGCTGAATATTCAACGCACAACCGAGGTTAAGGCTGAACAAAAGGTAACTCGAAACTGGAGTAATTGGAACAAGCTAATAACTATTGTGTATTTGTATAATAAATTCATTATTAATAAGAAATTTCAATTGTAAGAATTAAGTATAAACACATTAGTCATAGATTGTAGAAGTTACTTGAACTGGCCTCGTTTATCCCACCTGGATGACATGGCGTTTGGTTTATTCTTTTTTCTTTCCTGTAAAATAAACATTATTAATTACTTGCTTTTGTTTCAAGGTTTTTCTTTCTGTTTGATTTTTTTATCAAAGAGGATTTTTCGGTGTCACTGTTTACTTCCCTTCTCTTATGTTTTATAGTAAAATCATTCCCTAAAACTTTGGGGTTAGATATAGTGTAACGACTATGCATTTTATGAGTTTGCTCAATTTTTCGAGTAAACCCATCCGTTTTTTCATCTTATTTAAAAAAACAAACTTTATTTAATTGTCGATGCATTTAGTTTATACAACTAATTGGGGACACTGAAATGAAACTGAAATGAAGAAATAATCAAATAAACATAAAGTGTTTTAAGAATCCCAACTGGCAAGGAGGCAAACCAGTTTGCTATTAACAAGCATAGTCGAGAAACTGAATTTGAACTAATCAGAAACCAGGACAAATACAGTCTCAGCTAGTGGCCACAGCGGGACTCGAACCCAGCACCACCGGATTGCGAGACCAACGCTATCACCACTCGACCATGCTGCCTCCTACAAATACATTAATTTTGCCAGTATCGGAGCAAAACGCTGTACCCACATCCCATGAAAGATATCAAACTAGACGTAAAACTACAACTTACTTTCTCCTCTTCCATAATTCGTTTTGCTTTCGCCTCTTCTTCCTTTTTCTGCAAAGCAATTGCACAAGTGTTGCTTCCATTCCATTCATCGTGCATACTTAAGATAATTACTTTACTAAAGCAGCTACGAGCCTGGACAAACTGTTGCGACTCTACGTTTCTCATATTACATTTTTTTTCAGTCGAGATGATACTTCTTACACTTTTAGGCCAAACCCTTTTCCCCCTTTCCTAGACAAAGTTACGTACAGTCTTTTGTGTGTGTTATTTGGTGTGGTTGCCTACACTAGTCGTGTACAAAATCAGATGATGCTGACGACGTGAATGTGTCAAGGTATACACTAAATTGCAAAATCATTGACGTGTTCAAAACATAAAACGTAGAAGCTGAGTGAAGGTAATTCTGTGAAATGACATAATTCTCCTCTGATGTATTTATTTGAGACACACTGTCGACACGAAAGTTTTAACTATTTCGACAGCCACACACACATAACGATTAAATTATTTTTAACATATCCTAGTTATGACATTAATTGTACATTTGAACTTTTTTTCAATCTATTGTATTATTTTTGTAAGTAAATTTATGTGTGTGAATAATAAAAAAAGTCTAAGTCTAAAGATATGAAACATATGTTAAAAGCCTCCATGCTTTCTGTCAGTGCAACAATTTATTTACATTCCAAGAGCTGCACACTAAATACATCACTTCCCATGTACCATTTTGGTCTCAGCTTCTAAGTTATATATTCCCGACAATGATTTTACAATCGAGGATATATGAGTTATAATAAGGTTGTAAATTATACTGATAATGTATATAATAAAACATTATTAAGTTCCATTAAGTAATTGGGTATAATTATATTGTATTTTAATCAAGGTTTAATTGAGGGGAGGGGTACATTAGTTGTTAGTTATTAGGATTAGAGGTATTTAATGAGGTTATGGTATTGTATTTTAGTCCAGGTTTAGGTGGAATTAAATTAGTTGTTAGTTATTAGGATTAGAGGTATTTAATGGGGTATAGATATTACATTAGGGGTATCTAATTGGCTAGAGATATTACGTTTTAATCTTGGTTTATAAGGAGAGGGGAGGGGATTAAATTAGTTGTTAGTTATTAGGATTAGGGGTATCTGATTGGCTAGAGATATTACGTTTTAATCTTGGTTTATAAGGAGAGGGGAGGGGAGTAAATTAGTTGTTAGTTATTAGGATTAGGGGTATCTATTTGGCTAGAGATATTACGTTTTAATCTTGGTTTATAAGGAGAGGGGAGGGGAGTAAATTAGTTGTTAGTTATTAGGATTAGGGGTATCTATTTGGCTAGAGATATTACATTTTAATCTTGGTTTATGAGGATGGGGATATTTACAATTAGGAGTATTTAGTTTTTATCGTTTACATTTTACTTACATGACCACATCATCAGCTCTGCTGTTCATTTTACTATCACATATAAACGAATGTCATTATCATTATTATTATTAATGTGATTAATATCAGTAATAAAAGTTAACAGGGAGAGAGTGGTGGTCAGTGGTCACTTTTGGTTGCTCAAGGAATTAGCTAGATCAAGAGGAAATTAATTTTTTTCAATAGTGAGCTAGCAATAATGGCAAAAAGCGCCAAAAACTAGACTTTCGTATGAGTTTTGATCCCAATTTTCGTCTGGGGTTAACACTCAAAACCTTTTTTTAAACAGTTAGGAACTGATGTACTATGATAAAATGCCTGTTTGAAGCGGTATTTTCAATTGTACAAAGATGTTTCGTTGCATTTGTGCTAGAATGTTGCTTTGTCAGGCTTTTTTTTAATAGAAAATATATGGGAAATAAGCAAATGAAGGCCTAAACCTCATTTCCGAAGAAAATTTTTGCTTTGGGTTAACACTTTGATTCCCCTTTCATCCGGTCATCGGTCATCGGTCAACTTTCTGAATAACGAGACTTTAGCCTTGTACAACAGCCTTTCTTCAAGAAAATAGTTTTTGGCGCTCACTGCTTGAATACAAAAGAATTCTCTCTTAATTGCTAATGCTAGCTACTTGCTGCTGCAGTTGATACCCTCCCTTAAACCTTCTTGCAAGCTTGGTGCTTGCCTTTACCTTGCAAGGATAACTCTTACCCACTATTCATAATCTGAATGCCATGTTAATAATAATAATAATCATTATTGTCATCATCATTTCTATCAAATAAAATCTATATTCAAAAGAACACGAGAGCTAACATTGCACAATACACACATAAGACATATCTCTTACCTTTTTTTGTTCTTCTACTTCTTTCGAAATTGCCTCTCGTTCTCTTTGCAGTTCTTCCTCTCTTTCTCTTTCTTTCTCTTTCTCAATCTTTAAGAATAATAAATATAGGTGCTATCAGTAATGATGAATATTATTGGAAAATAGCATGTTCTGCTAGTTTGGGTTCAGGAATATATAGAGGATATTACGTGGGCGCGCGGAAATATGAAATTTATCTTCGAGTGCTGAAAAGATCTCTCACGAGTGAGAGATTTTCAACACGAGAAGATAAACTTCGTATCTCCAAGCGCCCATGTAATATTCTGTTTATTATATAATTATCCATAAAATCAACTTAACAAGCTTTTTATCATTATAAAAAGTTTTTATTTATTCACTAATAGCTTAAATACACATGCATGGCAACGATATTTTCACATGTGAAAATAACATATTATTTTCACATGTGAAAATATCAGTTTTTCGAAAAGGAGAAATATAGGTATTTTATGGATAATTATATGATAAAGAGTGATAAGCTTATTGGGTATTGATAACAAAAATGGTAAGTAAAGAGTTTTGAAACTCTGAATTGGAAGTAGTGCCCAATAAAGCGGTGTGTGCATCAGATCTCACAGGAGGTAAGAGATCAAATGAAAAGAAGTTCTGATAGCTTACAGTTTCATAGATAACAGAATGCAATAGGATAGGTTTAAATTAATCTGACTATATGTAAAAAATGAACGATCAGTAACGTTTCTTAAACCCCTGAAATGAAGTACCTCTATAAAACTCTTTCTGTAGTTTTGCTGCTTCTTGGGTGCACTGCAAGAAATGAAAAAAAGGTGGTAAATATAAAAAATCAAATTTCGATTATGTGATTAAAATGCTCAAAAGTTTATTTAAAATGACGATTTGACTTACGTTTTCTGTTCTGATTCTTTTCTTCGAACCACCAAATCAGAAGACGCTGGTGGAGCTGGGTTAGTTTTCTTCGTTACCATCTCCTTATCAGAAGAAGGTGCCCTCACCATTGCCTGCCTTCTAACATGAATTTCTTGCTCCCTCTGCCTGAGTTCTTCCATTTCTTGTTTTATTCTGTTACTCGAAATTGAGGGGAAGAAAGAATCGGTCATCGGATGCGGAGCACCAGCATCTTCTTGGTCCAAGGGAGGAGGAGGTGACTTGGACTCACTAGGTCTGGGCTTTTCTTTGCTTGTAGTTTGGTGCCTTTCGACCGAATTTTGTTGTCTCTGACTTTCAAACTGCTGGCGTTTTTCAGAGATGTTTCCTAAATTCAAACGGGTTGGGGCTTCATTCTTTGCGATAATCTTAAATTCTTTATCTCTGTGAGTTTGCGTTTGAAATTCCTGAGACGATGTTGCTCTTTCTCTTTGAATTTGCGTTTGAAATTCCTGAGTCGATGTTGCGTCAGAGTAAAAGGAAGCCCTGTCTTTCCTGCCTGGTTTTTGTTGGCCACCACTGTTTTCTAAATTCAGAGATTGCCGTTTCTTGCGCAACACAACCTTTGATTCTTCCTGGTTTGGTGCAGAATGTTCGAATAATGCCTTTGTGTCTCGAACACTCTTCCTTCTTTCACGCTTCTCAGTGTCCTCAGATTCAGAAGAGGGGACTTCTTGATCATCTTTTCTTGTGCCTGGAGTTTTATTTCGAAGTACGACTTCTGACTGCACCTGCGTTTCTTTCATAGCAGTGATAACTCGCTCTTCAAGTCTTACTTTTTGAGCTTGGAAAGTAAGACGCCTCGAATCTGCAATTCTCTGCGCTTCAGCTGCTCTATGCTGTTCTTCTAGTTTCCTCTTTTCGGCTTCCTTGAGGGCAATTTCCCTTTTCTTGCGCAGTTCTTCTTCACGTATTTCTCGTAGTCGCATAAGTTCCTCAGCTTCTCTCTTGCGGCTCTCTTGTTGAATTTGCTCAATTTGTTTTAATCTTCTTCTTTCCTCTTCCTCCTGTATTTTTCTCTGGATTTCTTTGTCCTCTGCCGTCATTTTCCCATCAACACTATCCATGGGAATTTTGTCAGCACGAACACTTCCTAGAACTCGTGGTCCAGCCACGTTTCTATCTGGCAAATGTGCAGGCCGTTGAGCATTTGTAACTGGCCTACTCACATCCTTATCGGGCGCCCCCCGCCTTACCTCGAGTGCTGAAGGAGGTTGAGACTCTACAGTTCTATGCGTGGTAGTACTCTTAATAGACCTCCCCGTTATTTCAATTTCTTTTTCAATGGCGTGGAGTGGCTTTTGGTCTTTTGTGAGGCGGGTAAGTTCAGAATTTCTTTGCTCGATCTCTCGACGCATTTCGTCATCTTTACGCTTTTGTTCCTCAATCTCCAATTCTACCCAGCTTTTGCGGTGATGGTGGTGCTTGGGATCCGTTTTTGGTCGAACAACAACCGGATGAGGTTTATTGTTTGCGGCTTTACCCGTTTCGATATAGACTTGTTTGGCATGAGGTTTTTGATGCTTGTCTTTTGAAAGCGTTGTTTCATCCTTCCTTGCTTCCTCTATCCTTCTTTGAACTTCCTCTTCCCTACGTCTCTGTTCTTCAAGTTCTCGTTCGATGAGGTAACCAGCATCAGTAGTGTGGTACTCATCTTTATCAGACTGAGATATATGCTTTTCTAACTTCCCCCTTGCTTCTTGCATTGCATATTTTCGTTCCATCAGTTCCCGAGATCTCTCTTCTTCTTGTCTCTTTAATTCTTCTCTGGCTTGTCTTCTTTTCTCTTCCTCGATTTCCCTTTTCTTTCTTCTCTCTTCTTCTATAGCCCTTTTCTCCTCGAGATAAATTGGCAGGAGTTCTTCTTGTGTTCGATTCTTGCTCGAAGGAACTTGTCTTTCTGCTTTTCTTAAGGCTCCCGATTCAATTAACTCTTTTTCCTCTTCATGGGAAAGGACTCTTCCAACGGGAAGCTTGTAGCCTGATTTCCCTGGACCACTGCCTCCATGTTCAATACCATTCACATCACCATTCTCCATTTCAGCTGACATTTGCTCAAAAAGTTTATTTATATTCTGATCAGCGACAGACTCTGCTTTCTCAGCTGAACATACAGATACTTCTTCCTGGACAGGAGACTTGCCTTTGTAGCTATTCTTCTTTTTTTGGTATTCTTTATCTGGAAATTCCACCTCTTCTTTAACTCTTTTCGTAATTACTGGTCGTTTTTCAATTCTTGCCCAAGAAAAGGACTCGTCTCTTTCCACCCCTTTCCTAGGTTTGGCCAAACTCTCTTTCACCTTTTCTTCAACTACTTTCCTTTTAGTGTCAAGAGCCGAGGAAAAAGAATCGTCGAGGTTATCTTTATTTTGACTAGCCTAGAAAGGAAGGAAAATTGAATCAGACCAAGGACATTAGCACACAAAGCGTTAATATAAGGCGTTGAATTCGCCTTCAGTGCCAATTAGCGCTCCTTGAATGGCAGGCGGTTGAGTATTACTAACGTAACGGACATCGCGAGGTCGCGTTGTTGTTGATGTGTATAGGGCCAAGTGCGGAACGTCCGTTACTGCAAGAAGTACAAATCGGTTATTTAAAGCCCTTTCGCCTTTGGAGTAAAACAAAATTTCTGCAGCAAAGAAACACAAAGATAAGTAAACAACCTAGTGTCCTAGGCCAGATACTAGTGGTATACCTACCGAAAGACCCCCACTAGGATTGTAAAATTTCAAAATACGATTCCGTGGTTAATGCTAACCAATGGTTACCATTGGTTACGTTACCGGTTGTTTTTTTTTCTTCTTGGAAAACTGATGATTATCATATCGAGAGTAAAGCCCAAAACAGAGCACAAAAGGTCAAAAATATGAAATATCTCTTATTCTTTCGATGTACTTCGAATAAACGTAATTCAGTATTATGGTAGAATTAGCCTATGGCAATGAACTTGCCATGCATTGAAAATTAAAATTGAAAGTGAAAATACCGCTGATATCATCAGACGCATACGATCATTTATAATGGCTGCGATTGAATGGCTTATACAAGCAAAGTAAAATTAATTCATAAAGAACTCTTGTATCGTTTAATCAAGCTATTTTAGAGTTCTGTTTTGGATATTTTTTAAAGAAAATGCATGTTGTATATGTGAAGTAGAAAACTCGATGATGTTCAAGGACGTTGAATGAAGGAAATGAATATTTACAATTTAACACGACAACCGTTATATTCGACAGAGAGTTGGTAAAAAGTTTCGTGTTCCATAGTCCATACAAGTTAAAACATTCAAATTTCAGTAAATTTGATTGCAAAAATGAATAATACTGGAGAAGTTAGTGACTCCGTGCGTCAAATTGAAAAACAATATAAATATATAGTTCAAAATTAAAATTTGTCGTGATGAAAGTGAATGCTAGAAATCCTGATATGAAAAACGGTTTTAAAATAACTTGATAGTCTGAAAAGAATAACGTAATAGTTTACCTTTGAAATACTCGCTTGTTCACTGGCTTTTTCCGTTGAACGCGTTCGACTGTTACTCTGTTTGCTATCTTTACTAAGTCTGGAGCTATCTGATGACAATGGAGTCTTGCTATCTTCAGAATCGGCGACACCGTTCACAATCTTTGGCACTGACTTCTCTGTAATTCTACTCGGTCGCGTCACTTCAGTAAAACTGATATCTGAGGGTTGCGTTTCAGAATAATTGTTGTTGAGGGTAATTTCAGGTACAGTTGGGCCGTTTTCACTTTCTTTAATCGGCACAGTGTTCTCTATAATGTAAGAATCAAAAATATTTTTCTTATCAATACACCACTCTTATAAAAGATTTCCCATCTTAATTGGAAAAAAAGTCGTACATAATTAAAGCATAAAAATATAGACGATATTTATAATTATGCACAGATGGAGAAAAGTAAAAACTTAATTCACGATTCACGATATCAAGATCCGCCAAATATTAAAATGTAGTTTATTTTGTAGTTAAAATTGCAAATTTATTCCAATTTGGCTGAGTTTTTTTCAAGTACGAGAAGGATCGCCGTATTTTGCCTAAATTGATAATTTATCATTATTTTGGTCGATTAATCATTGAAAAAGACGTTTTGTTAAATATGCCATGAGTTAAATTTAACTCAAAAAAATAAAAACAATGCATACTCTGAACAGCCACATATGTCGTTTTGTTTGGATAAAAACAGTTTTAATATATATATATATTCGATTCTTTTTGTCAAACTTGAGAAAATTACTTTGCTACATATTTACCAATGAATGAATAAATGCTATGAAGTCTACTTGACTATTTAAAAAAAAAAAACGTCTGGTAACGTTTGAATCTCTAGCGAAATTCGCCAACATGTCAGCCTCTAAATTGGCCATTCATTATCGGAATATCCGGCCTAATCCTTGAAAATCACGAAATATATTGCCGATTGACCGACTCTTAAGTATATCAAACACACCATGATTGTCACGAGCGCTCATGATATCTACTGGCTGGACTAGCTATTAGTCAAACTGAAACGTTTTCTCAAAAGGCTTCTATATACGTCCAACGAAAGTTTTTCTGGTGCCGATGCCTCCCTAAACAAACAAACATTCAATCAAGTTATCCTTGTCGATCGTGTATTCTCGAAAATACATGTTCATGTTAGTAGCAGCAACAAAGTAAATCAGGCGTCTAGCTTGAAGAGGTCAATAGTTATGTCACTGGATGCATATTATTCTACCAATAATCAATCACGAAAAAAATATTAGTAATTCTATGTAGTACATAATTTGCTTTTGTCTTATTGCAGCTTTATCCCATAGATAGAGTACTAAATTGTACCAAAAGATGACGTAAGTGCATAGTCGGGTGTAAGCGTACTAACAAAGGCTGTACATAGATTTAGTTGTACGTCATGGGGCTATAAAGAAAGCCAGTTAGTTAAAAAACACTATGTTTGGTGGCTTTTCTAGACAATTCTAGCTCCGCGTACAATGAGTTATGACATTAATCCAACCAATGTCAAAACGCCATCCTCCATCGACCAAAGAAGACGCTTTCCACAAGAAATTTTCTTCCTTATATTTATCAAAACAATTTTAGTAAAAATTAGTATGCATCGTATTAATCATTATCACCAATGTATGCCCAGATTGACAAAAGTTAGTAAAAGTACGTTATAATATCTGCTGAAGGCAAACTTTCCGAAAGTTTGGCTTCAGCAGAGATCATGACGCACTTTTAGGCTAGAACTTTTAGGCTTAACGTACTTTTAGGCTAAAATAAAATGTCTTTATATTTTTTAAAGACTGACACTAGAGAAATTTTAAAATAACAAATTCACCAAGTCAATCAAGGTTCATGAATGTGTTTACATAAAACAAAAGAGATAAGCAGCATTTTTTAAAATAAAATAGGTAGATCAAAATTGGACAGAAAAATGGAAATAGAAAGAGTTCTGGAAGTATTGTTTCTTAACTTTAATCTAGGTTAATATTATTTTGATCGCGAATTTACGAAGTTATGTACTCTTTTACCTACCTAGGTTCGTACCGTTTGATGTCCAAAGTCTCTCAAACAACACACTATCCTTATCAGTTGATAGCTTTTTATCGCGACCTTTAAACAAATCTTCTCCAGATAACCGTTTCTTTAGTAAGAAACTCTTATCAAACGGCTTGAAGTTCTCTTTTTTCGATCGGTCCTTCAGATTCAGTAGGCTCTGAAAAACAAGAAACAATCAAAATTAATATATGCAAGTCTCATATCCAGTCATGCGAATAAATTTTTTCAGCTAATTGTTTAAATAGCTTGTCAATATCTTTTGTAATGTTAAATGAACGATCCAAAAACATGTACATTCCTTATGAATGAAGAGAAAAGCTAATAACTTTTGAAGTACTTATAATTATTCCAAAGTTTTCTCTCAGATCTTTCCTGGGATCATAGAGTAATTAAAATGATAGAAAGCAAATTTTTTGTTTATCATTCGTAGTTCAGTAGTTTCTCAGATTGCCTGACTATAAATGTCTTATAAGCCAGTTAGTGAAACATTGACTTCTTAATGGGATAATTAGTGTAAGTGTAAGCCTGCTCATTGAAAGAGAAGATTTGAAGGCCTTGGGAGGTGAATAAAGATTAATACCTCGACAAAACAGGATTGAAATTATAAAAAATTAAATAGGTTTAAGACTGATATACGTTTTGATTATATAGACAAAAAAACTGAGCATTTGGTTTGTTTTGCACTAGTCAATTAAAATCCCAACCCCCAGATCCCCGGGACAGGAATTTAACATTCACGTAGTGTTAGATTTAGCACATTCTCCCAGTCCCTGAAAAATATTCGCTGTTAAACTTATTGAAGTTGTTGCTTTTAAAATCATTAAACTGTTAAAGTACGCATTATATTCGCCAAATCTCCGTGCAATCACGCTGTTAAATGCACGCTAAATTCCCGGTCTCCCCACGTTAATTCCCCGCCCTGTCCCGGTAGCCGGGGGGCGGGGGTTTCAGATGACTAGTGCATTATGTTTCGCATCCAAGCATGCATAAATAAAGTTAACTAATTTTATTTCGCTATGGGTTCATAAAACATACCCTACGAAGTTCAGTTTCTTCTTTTTCTAAAACAGAAAGCCTGTCTTCAATCTTGTTCAGCTCTGGTCGTATTTTTTCATTTACAGTAGCATCATCAAGGCCGCCTGCTATTTCTGAACATAGCTTTTGCTATCGAAAAATTAATTCACAGTATAAAAAGTCAGTATTTTGGGATGAAATAAAGTTTTGAAAAAATCACGAAATTAAAGTGCTTATGAGCCTTTACACAATATTTTCAGAATTCAGAGTCTTTAAATAGTGAATAGTTGATTGTGAAAATAATTCGTCATTTGAATGTCGGGTCTTTGAGATACCAAGGTTTATATTTCCAATATGTTAATGACTATGACGTAACATAAGGGATTTGAGGTATTTTGTGGTAACTTTTGATATTGAACGCTGGACATTTTTTGAAAACAAATTTGTTAGAACCTTTACGTGAGTCACGAGTAAAAGGGTGATGCTCTTAAAATACTGTATTCCAGAACGATTGCAGAGTTGTATATTAAATGATCCCTTATGTTACATCATAGTCATTAACATATTGGGAATATAAACCTTCGTATCTTAAAGACCCGACATTCAAATGACGAAATATTTTCACTATCATCTATCCACTATCTAAAGAATCGATTCTGAAAATATTGTGCAAAGGCTTATAAGCACTTTAAGGCGTCGCAAAAATACTGATGAATGACGCGAAAATATAATTAGTAACATTTATTGACCGTTAAAAAGCGGATATAAACGACTTTGTTACACTACAGTTTATAACAGTTTAGCGAACTCCTTACTCAACAAAGGTATTTTATGCCTTAACAGGGGCGGATACAGAATTTTGTTTAGGGAGGAATGTTGCACACAATGTTAACCCACGGAGGGGTGCACCCCTTAGAATCAAAGAGAAAAAACAGTATTGGTTTTCTTCGAAGTAGGGGCGCAAAGTCGAACAAGAGAGGGGTGCGCACCCCTCCCCTGGATCCGCCCCTGCTCAATCTCCCTGACTAAATAAGAATACGTTTTTATGTTTCAAAATCACAAAATTTAGTCGCGAAATACTCCACCTCCAAAAATCGCGACATTAAAGACCATTAGCACTATTTTGTACTATTTAGTAATTAGTGTTTCACGGATTAATTGTTTACACTCTATTTTAAAAATGTAAAAAAAATAAATAAATAAAACAAAAATCTATGCTGTAGCATTAGTTTAGTTAAAATCGCTGTAAAAATAATTTCCTTGTAATACCAAAAAGCGCGCGAAAAGTTTAGTGTTAGCGCGGGAAAACCAGCGCGCACGCGTCGATCTAAAGCCCGCGAAAATTGCGAAGATGAAACAGAAGGTAGGAAGCTCGGGAAGATCTTATTTTTGCTTTCTTTTAAGCTTATAACTTTTATCAATTTAGAGCTTTATTTTTAGTGACACTTATAAACTTCGAAGCAGGCTAGACTATTAAAAACTTGGGATGCATTCAAAGGTAAGGGAAAGCGTTTTTAATACGATAATTAAGCTTTATTCGCAGGAAATTAAGATATTTTACCTACCTTCAAAGTCAAAAGCTGTCTTCTCTCCGACTGAACTTCAGCGTGTCTGAAAAAAGATTAGCATATATATTACGGTTAAATATAACTAAACCTGTGTGGGTTATTTACAAACAACCTTTCACTAAAAATATTTGACTTCTTTTAGTTCCGTCTGTTCTTGAGAGCATGTGTACGGGCAAAAATCTGTTTTCAGAGGCTTTACGCTTCTCTCATTTAAGCTTCACGTCTTACGAGCTTAAAGAATATCTTATCTTATTAATACCTAAGTTAAGATATGGGATTAGTTTAATTAAGTTTGGTTTACTTAAAAAACGTTTAAAATCTTTCTGTAAAAGGTGTGCATTATGTACACACTTTATGAATACGTATACCAGTCCTGGATTAGTATTTCACTGATTACTTCACTTTTATAACTTCAATTTTATTATTTCACTTTTATTAATTTTTATATCCGAATCAACGCAAGCGGGCAAAGATGCATTGGAATTAAATAAAAGTTTTAACAATCAGTACGGAATTTTGTACTAGGATCTAATAGGATTGTGCACATAAAACATTAGACACAATTGTAAAAATTGGGTCCAGTTCTGGACTATATGAATACAGCTATTTCAAAAAAAGTTGATTAAGGCATATTCACTAAGGTCTTGTTTCATGTTGCATACTAAAACTGAAAAGCATTATACAGTAGGTGATGTGGATCCAATCAGTGAAAGATCACGAAAAAAGGAAATTATTTTTCAAAACTTTGTCTGCAAGTTTTTTTTGATATATTTAATCCTCTGTGCTGACATCATTTACATATGAATATGATATATCTTAGGCTTAGTAAGCAACATGCAGCATGCAACAAAATATTTACCAGCCTATTTTGAAATAGCCCCTTGCAGCTTGATAGAATGCAGCTTAGTGTAATTTGGAGAACATAACTATAGATTTCCAATTCTCAAAAGATTGAAATTCTTTTGTTTTGTCCTCCAAATTGCACTGCTTTGATGTCACATGCATTAGGGGTCTATAACTGTACAAGAAACAGATACCCCTTCACTCACCTCTTTTTCTTGGCTTCGCCATCGTCTTTTAGAGCCTTAAAAAAATTATATTTAATAATTGAATATTGGCTTATTATTTAGATGGAATGAAGCTTACCAATGTTCCCCCCNCCCCCCGTACCCCCCTCCCCCTGTAGCCTGTGTGGCTGAACATGTTGTGTAGCTGGCTCTGGGCTGTGGGACACCGGGGTAAAAAGGTTTTGGGAGGGAGACTTGTCTAAGGGTAATTTTCTAAAGAACACAAAAAAAGTAAAAGTAAAAATCACAAGCGACTGCTAAAATCACCTCATTTGGTAGCATGGCCTTGACATCTATGCTTCCTTCAAGTTCATTACCTAAACAGATTTATAAGCAACAAATATGATTATTTCTCCATTAACTTCTCAAAGAAAAATCAAGAGCTCTGGTAGAGTACATGTATATAGAGTGCCAAACTGTTCTGAGTCCTTTATTACAATATCATTGTTTATGTGCAACCCACAAAGTTCAATGTATCGTTAACTAGCATTTTGATGACTGTTAATCAAAGAACTGCAATAAAAAAGAACTTATTGAGCAAGTTTTTAGACTGAATTGAAGATATGAATCATCTCCTCCTCTAAAATTAGAATTAATTCCAAAATCTCCCTCAAGATATTGTTTTTTTTTTGTAATGCAGTTTTTTAAATGATAGTTGTTAAAATGCTTAGGTCCATGAAAAAGACATCAAACTTTAGGGGCCATACTTCAACAATAATGATTGTAACATACCATACTTTAAATCTCAATCAAGGAATGTTCAGTAAGTGGGGTGCATTTATGTCAGGAACATTTCTTTTTCTCTTTCAAATTTGAACTTTGTTTCTTCATTAAGTACCCAGGACTTAGTAGTAGAGCATAAGTAAAATGATAAATTACAGTGTCTCGTACATGATATGATATGGCAGGCTAATGATATGTATAATTCAAGTTGTGAGTAAAATAAATATATGATAATTATTTTATTAGGTATGATATCTGGAGCCAATGTTAAGACAGAGATGATAACTGCTGTACTGCAGCATTACATCATGGTATTATGTACTTATTGACTGAGTGGGAGGGCCGTACGGGAAAATATTTGGCTCGAGGTCATGTCGTACGGACCGAGCGCAGCGAGGTCCGTACACGCGAGCAGGGCCGTATGGGTCATATGATAAGTTAAT